TATCTATATATACGTTTGTACACACACAAATACACGTGTACACACACACACGCGCTTGTACACACACACACACACACACACACACACATATATATATATATGTATATACACACACGCATATATAAATAAATATCTATATATACGTTTGTACACACACAAATACACGTGTACACACACACACACACACACACAGACACACATACATACATATACATATATTCATATATACATATATTTCTACTTTCAGATACACTCTACTTCACTCAACCTATAGTTATATGTACATGTGCAGGTATCCCACCTATCACGGTATAAATTTCAACGAAAACCTTATTTAATCGACTGTGACACAAGTGTGTTGATATATTCACTTTTTTTGACAATGATATAAAATATTTAAAGGCAGAGGAATGTATGTATTTGCCTACATACATAAAAGCTAAAGCAACACAACTCTTGTTTATTGATTTGTGATGTTTCTTGCCTTTAAAGCTACATATAGCGATGATGAAGCGCCCTGTATAATTTTGCTCGGGCTTGGCTGGTCTTGAATCAGACGCAATGATCATTCTATCTCATAATTATATGGTCTGCTAGTATCGCCTATTTGCACTCGGCTTCAAACATGGTGAAGTACGCAATATACGCGACTTTCAGTTTATTGCGCCTAATGGGAAGGTATCGGGCTCGCGGGCCGTACTATCCAATACAGGCCACGAAATAGGACCTGTTCCAACTGTAACAGCCGCATGTAACACAGTGGTAAAATAATAAATGTACATAACATACACCTATAGACGTAGCTACTGACGCAGTAGGAAGAGCTGGCTGCACCACACTCTTATATTGGTATATGCAATTCGTCGGTATACATGACGCAATGGTATGCGTTCGCGGTCCCTAGAAATTAGCACATGTGATATTTCCGGTATACGTGCGCTTGCATATACGCCCGTGACAGAGTATTAAATGTTTGAAATACCGCTGGTGGTATGTCACGATGTGGCTATCCTTGTTGTTTCCTAGTTTACAGTTGCTTTCCTAGGGCATGAGTACACACAAAGGCCCGAGGTGGCCCACGCATGTTTTAACACACACGAAATAATAATTACTATTTCCAGGAAGCATTGTCTCCTATCTCACGTACAAGCCCTACACCCGTCGCTCTGCTTCGCATTTTTGACAACCGCAATCAAACCCGTACTTGTCACGCAATTCACTCTGACGAGCTTCATATGGCAAACTCCCGGCTATATACCGTGTATACACCTGTTCTCCTTGGGAAAAGGCTCGCTCAGCTCTCAGTACCGCCAGCCCATTCGCGTCAATCGACCTCGATGTCCCAGGCTCGCATGAGTGATTGCTTCTCGACAGCACTTCATACAAACCTAGTTTTTGTCCCACACCGTCATAGCCACCCACGGAGAAGGAATTGGTAGAGGCCACATTGCCTGGAATCTTCTTCTTCAGTGAGTCCTTTTTGACGCTCAAATCCTTGCCATCGTATGTTAGTCTTGCAGCCCATCTTCCGTTGGACATTGGCGCTGTTGACAGTATGATACACTCTAAACCATTCAGCAGTCGCCCTTTCTCGCTATTAAGTCCATTCAGATAGAACAGTTTCGATGCCGTGATCACCGTGTCATTAGGTGTCTTTGCGTCGTGTAGCGCCATCCATTTCCGTTGTACATCACCACTTTGTGAATTGAATATCTCCTGAACGCACTCACACACACAATCGTCCATTAACTTTCGAAATTCTTTTGGATACTCATTCATAGGTCCTCCTTGTGCTGTCCATCTGCTCGCCCATTGTATAGTTTTCTGAAACTTCTGCTGCGTTGCAGGTGTGGCATCGTACTTTATATCCAGTACAACTAATGGTAGTTCCTGTAAAAGCATATCGCCCTTGCGTACGGCATGAGATGTGAATAGACCCCAACCCGTTCCGTCGGTCATGCGTACTTCCACGGCGCTGTATTGCAAGCGGCTTTCCTCGAGCACGCTCATGTGTTATGTGTTTACTTGTGTTATTGTCTCAATGGGCATATATTTACATGAGCATGTAGCATGTAAGCTTCAAGCGACGAACAGAAGCGCTGTAATCCACATTTTCACACGGGGGGGAAAATAATATTTACTGTACACTAGATTGTCTGCTGCAGAGTGCAGTGCTATTATGGAAAGATGAGCACCACAATAAAGTTAAAAAAAGGGTATCATACTAAGCCAATACTACTACAATACGTACTAAAAAGCGCTTGATTTTCTTTGCTGTTTGTTTTTATAAAAAAACAAAACCTTCTACCAGATCAGTCGGCTACAAAGCACGAGAGTTTGCACTCGAAAGTAATGTCGGCCATCTTGCTGAAAAAAGTCATGACCAGATGTTTGGTATAGATACAATACGTATTTACCCAAATAAACAGAGGTAAGGTACATATTTACATAAAATGTAGAAAAAGGTATTGAAAAACATGTAATATAATAGTTCTTTACGTAAATGTATATAATTTTGTGCGTATTTATAGAACCATATGGAAAATATAATACGTATATTTAAATGACCAAAAATGCAAGCAAATAGTGACCACTACTCTAGACTACGGCATACTGATTTAAACCGTAAATAAAGAAATAGTGAGAGATATTTAAGGAGAGACGAGTGGTAGTGAGAGTGTGTGAGAGAGAAAGAGACTATACTACATAGTAGCAGAGAGAGGACATACGAATCCTCCCACTCAAACAACTTGTATTTATATATCCATCACAATTGCAAGCAAAACTCTACTAGTAGTTACTAGACTCATTGTTGAATAGGCGACTAATACGAACCCTTCCAGTCAAACAACTCATAAATTCATCATGGCGCAAAAGAAGTTGTTGCGCGCACAAATGAAGGACCTGCTATCGAAGGTTACGCTGGAGGACCGAAGGAAGCAGTCACTTTCAGTCACCCAACAGGTATTCAAATGAGAATCGGATATTAGTATCGATATTAGTAGACTAGGAACGTTATACACACACACACGCACACACACACACGCACGCACGCACACACACACACACACACACACACACACACACACACACACACACACACACACACA